ATACTTTGCTACAGGTAATAATAGAACAAAACAATATATTAATTAAGTTATTAAAATAACTTAATGAAAAACTTTAAATAATCAATTATAAATTATAAATGAAATGCGGCAAGGACTCAATAGACTGATTTATATCCGTTAAGGACTTACTAAACTCAATTGATAGTTCTAAAACTAAACAGATAATTTGACAATAGTTCAAGGGTAGAAAGTGAAATAAACTGTTTTTGTTATAAATTATATATATATATATATATGGGATAAAAGACCGTTCTAGTTCTTAAAGTATGCATTTGTTGTCATTTTAATCCTTTAAGTTCTAATTTTATCATTTAAGTTATCAAAGTTGTCAATTTAAGTCAAATAACAACTGTTTAAATCGTTAATGAAATAATTATAAATTTCAACTATGGTCCCTAATGTATATTTTTTTTTGAGTTATGCTAGGGATCTCAAATAATGTACCAAATTTTCTATCAAATCTCTTACATGGGTATAGGACCTACACACATGTTGGTTTGCATTGCTCTTATACCCATGTGAGAGGTTTGGTAGATTATTTGGGGGTCTATAGCATTTTCTTATCTATTTATTTATTTTATTATTTGGTCATTTTGGTCCAAAAAATATCAAATTTATCAATTTTTTTAATATTTCATGACCAAATTGTCAAAATAAAAAATTTTGGGAACCAAAGTGACACGAAACAAATACTTTAAGGATCATGTATATATTTTATTACTATTCCATTAACTATTTAGACCGTCAATTTGAAATTGAACTAAATTGACCAAAATTGAAAATTTTAAAAACAAAATTGACAAAATTAAATACTTAAAAGATCAAAATAATAGAATTATAAATATATTTCATTTTATATATATCCAAGTGCCATTATTAAATTACTTGCTATTTATTTCAATGACTAAAAAAATGGTGAAAATTAATGATGTATACTAGTCTCTTGGTAAAAATAATTTGGAATTTCTTTTAAAGGTCCCTAATATTAAGATTTTATAGGATAAAATATATACAATATTTTTGTACTAGTTAAGGTCCCTTTTAAATTACTTGCTATTTATTTCGATGACTAAAAAAATGGTGAAAATTAATGATGTATACTAGTCTCTTGGTAAAAATAATTTGGAATTTCTTTCAAAGGTCCCTAATATTAAGATTTTATAGGATAAAAGATATGCAATATTTTTATACTAGTTAAGGTCCTTCGACATTTTCACAGAGAAAATTCAACTCTGATAAATTTCACCTGACACAAAGAAATTTCGCCCGACACAGAAAAATTTCATCGAGAGACCTTAGCCAATAAAAAAAAATATTTTAGACATCTCCTACTATACAAAGTTGAACAGAGATGTTTCACTAGTTTTCCTTTATAATTTACCAGGCAAGTTTTTTTATATTAATTTTTATTTCTTTCATTTTTAAAAAACAAAAAATAATTACAAAAAATACCAAAACACGGTGTGATTATCGATATAAAGTCATAAGGAACAAAACTCTTTGTGGAATATCAAGAAGACATTTGCCTAAACGTGTAAGAGCATGAACCATGAATCACCACGTCTATTATTTTAATAATTTAAATTATTTATTTTAGTAATTTAAATTATTCATTTAGTGAGAGAGAGAGATTGATTTCTCTTAATTTTTTTTAAAAAATATAATAAATTTCATAATTTTGATATAATTATATTGAACACCTTTATATCGTATTTTGATAGTGGATTTGTGTAAAAATTTGGAAAAAAAAAAAAAGAGAAAAAAAATTTAGTTTATATTTCATTCATATTTCATTTACATTTTTTTTTGTGTGGAAGAGTTATGTGTAGATCTTAATAAGTAGACTTATTATCTAATAGGTCATGTGATAATTAACGGCGTTTTTCATCAAACACTATTAAAAAACGTAACTAATTGTTTATTTTCAGTGACAGTTGAAAAAATTTGTCAGTAATTTTTAGCTTTTAGTGACAGTTTGAAAAAAAATATCATAGAAAAATGTCAGTAATTGTAAGTTTTAGTGACAATTTATAAAAATCATGACAAAAAATGTCACTAATTGTCAATTTTTAGTAACATGAAAAAAATCGTCACAAAAAAAAATTTTAACGATAATTTTACTGGGACTAATGTTTCAATATGATTTGATGTGAATTAAATTTAATTATTAGGACCTATTACCTTTTTTTTTTTTTTTAACTTTCTAAATCTTTTCCTAAATTTATAATGCAAATACAATCTTCAGGTTGTATTGCACATAATGTTTTGTCGCATTTTCATCAATAATTCGTTAGTTATATGGATTGAAAAATGATATGATCAACTTACTTACACTGAAATGTACAATTGTTAGAGCCCGGTGGTCCTCTATGTAAATGTGTGCGCAAATAAATGTATACAAAAATAATAAAATTTTATAAAATAAAATATGATAACAAACCTTACAAAATTTTTGTACACTACTAAAACTGAAAGAAAATACTTGTGTTGAACACAATTGCCTTAAAGCAAATTTCACTATCGCTTCGGTGCTTCAAGTTTGACCAACATCTGTTTCTCAGTATACAACGACTACACTCAAAGTTACAGCACATCAACTCTAAGCCTGGCGAACCAACTAGTGCAAAAATTCTCTTAGAATTTCCTAAACTTCTATTGTGCAAAAATGCAGAAGCAGATGAGAGTGACAAAAAAATAAAAAAGAAGGAAAATGAAGATCATTTTTTTTTTATCTTCATGTATTCATACTATTTTTCGGTCCCTTTCTTGTGTACACTACAAGAACTAACCACTTTTGCTAACTAAATATTATTTAGTTACAAAAAGCACATATTTTCTGACCAAAAAAAAAAAAAATAGTAGTCAAAAGTTTTTATTTTCCACTACTAATGTGATTTAGTGGCAAAAATGTTGTGTTTAGTGACTAATTTTAAATATTGGTTGCTAAAAAAACTAGAAGCGGGAAGGTGAAATCTGGGGGGGGGGGGGGGGGGGGGGAAACGTCGGGCCGGGTGTCGGGACAGGCCAGTTTCGGGTCGAGTTGACGCTACATAATAAGGAATTTTGTGTTTGCCGAAACTCGGCTAGGCCTAATATCGGGCCACTATATCTGCCCAAGCCTGATCCAAACGATAACTATAAGTCTCAAGCCCACCCATTGGGCTATATGTTAAAAAAAAATAAATTAAAACATTTCATAATTAAATTCAATCACACATTATTTTTCTTAAATAAATATATTGATATGTTATTATAAATTGAAAGATTTGTGTATAAATTGAATGATTTTTATTAAATAAATTCAATCACACATCACCACAAATGTGAGTTTCAATAAAATCAACAAAGATAAAGTGTTGATCACCAAAAAATATATATATACATATATATATTTTTAATGTATTAGATATAATTAATTAATTAATTAGCAGGCTGGGCCGAGTCGGGCTGAGTTAAAAGTATAAATCCCAACCCAACCCATTAATATTTTCAAACGAAAAATATTGGCCCAACCCGACCCTATGAGCTAAAACTACCTTCCCAAACCCTAGAAAAATAAGGTTGGGCCAGGCGGGCTAATGGGCCGATGTCCATCCTTAGGTAGCCAGAAAACTTTTAGTGACTAATGAATTTTGGTTGCAGATATCAAGACGATGCCGTTTTGATGGTTAGCATACCTATTGTATTACGTGGCGACCAAAACCTATAGTAAGGGAAAAAAAAAATAGTTTGATTTTTTCTCTTTTGGCGACTAAGTGATTGATTGAAAAAAATTGCTAATACTTTTGAAGACTAAATTTGTTAATCGGTGTTTGACTAACTAATGTCTTAAAAATTGGACCGGTGAGTGAATAAGAAAATAGATTGGGTGAATGGGCCACCGGTTCAACCATCGGGACAAACTGGAATCAAACAGTGATGTCACAATTATTTTTATAAAATTATTTAAAAATAACATAAGAATTAAGAAACATTTATTTAAATTATTTTTAATTTTTAACATAAACATATTTATATTGATTATTTGTAAAACATATTAATTATATGTGATGTTTGAAAAAAATATAATAAAAATTTATATTTACCAAATATAAACCAAGGTTGAGTGTGGGATGATGATTATTTGAAATACTACTTTCATGTGATTCTATGTTCAACTCTCCCAAGCAACATAGTTACGAAAATTTCCTTGCCATTTGACAAAATGAAAGCTCGGCCGATTTAACTAAATCGGTTCCAGTTTGAACAGTACCTGAACTAGACACTGAGCAGTCCCAATCTAATTTTCAAAACAGTAGTTTGGCAATTAACTTTTTTTGGTTTAGTCGCGATAGTTATATGTTCAACGACCAAAAGTTTACCTGCTAGATTTAAATATATTTTTTTGTCGCATAATGTTTTTATCGACTAAAAATAGTCTTTTTGCTGCTAAATTTTTAGTTGGTAAAAGTGTAATTTCTTTAGTGGCAATTATGAAAAAACTATGAGGGTACTTGTGTTTTTTTCAAACTTTAAGGTAGGTCAGTGTAGTTTACCCTCTCTTTTTTTTAGATTTGTGTTTAAAAAATTTACTTTTCAAGTTCATCTGATTTAGAAAGATCTTTAAATTAGAAATTTCTAAAACAAGTTCAGTAAAAGTAGGGGGAAAAAAAAGTTTTGTTTGTTGTCTTTAGTGGATTTTATTTTTTTTTTAAAAATTTGGTTAATCTATTCTAGATCTAATTTTTACACTTAAATTATTTCTTATGGATCTAATTGCTTCAAACTTAGTTAGGAAATACTACAATAATTTGAAAAGCTGTAGTTTCGTGGACTCGTAAAATTAATGAGAACCACATAGATTAGTGAGATCATCTATCTATGTAAAATGATGTCACATTGACTATTTGTTTACCCCACTTGCATAAAAAGCATGGGACGGACCACTTGAACTTGCATTCTACTTCTATAAATAGGGGTGCTCTACTTTGGCAACTTCACATCTCTCAATCTCTCCCATAACTGTCAAACATTGTTTACACCAATCTTGCTTCCCTTGTCTGAATTTTCCCAGCATCCAATTCCTCCAACCATCTTCCCACAAATCAGCAAGACCTACCTCACCTGAATTCCTTCATCCATGGCCACCACCACCACCACCACCACCATCTCCACTACCCACAAATGGAGCATTTCTGTGGCAGAAGACCTCAAACGTCTCACTCCCCACTGCACCTTCACTGTTATGTTTTTTCTTCTCTTTTCTTTCTTTTTCGGGTACAATACTCGTGATCTTTCAATGAAGTACACAGCCTCTGGCCAGAACTGGCCACTGTGCTATTTTATGATAGGAAAGAGCTTTGGTATGGACCGGAGAGGAGGTCTCTGGCCTGTGGGTCCACCACGGATTCTAATTCAATGATCCAAGCCATTGATCTCATAATATCTTGCCTAAACTACTAAAATAAATAAATAAAATTCATATTGATGATATCTGTAGTCACACAATTTTAGATGGATGTAGAATATATTTTCAAAATGTTAATTTTTTGAAATTGTTGACTGAACCGCCTGGATAAGAGAGAAGATGCTCCTTTTATGATGATTCCTTACCTTGAAATCCTGATTTTCTAGGAGCTGACAACATCGGCTTTTCTTGCAGGATGAAATTTTAGCAAAGCAAGAACAACAATTGGAGGAAGTGAGGAGTGTGTTAAGAACAGTAGGAGAAGAAGAAGACTCACTAAAAGGTCTGGTCATGATCGATGCCCTCCAACGGCTAGGCATTGATTACCACTTCCGGGAGGATATTGAAGCTGTTTTACACAGCCAATATATGAAATCTAGCAGCCATAGCTTTACTGATCAACATGAAGATCTTTATGAGGTTTCGACTCGCTTTCGTCTGTTGAGGCAACAAGGCTACAATGTGCCCACAGGTTGGTGTATACACTACGTTTGTTTCGGTGGATTTTCATTTCTTGTGGAAAACGTTTTATAAAAATATTTTTTGTACAAAATGTTTTACTATGTTTGATTGTTGCCTTGAAATTAATATGCTCGTGGTGGTGGCGGCGGCGGCGGCGGCGATGGTGGTGGGGGTGTGGTGGTGTTGGTATTGGTGGTGGAAGTGTTAGTGGGGGGTGGTGGTTGTGATGGTGGCAGGTGTGTGGGTGATGGTGATGGTGCAGCAGCAGTGGTGTGGTGGTGGTAGTAGTGGTGGCACCAATGGTGGTAGGGTGGTGATATTGGTAAACACTTTGTTCTTTTCAAAAGCAGAAAATACTTTTCATCCAAATAAACTTGTTTTTTGCTAATCATAGAAAACGTTTTCAGTAGATTTTCATTTCTTGCCATACTAAATGTCAGGGGGAAAAAAAAATTAAAAAACGCTTTTTAGAAAATATTTCCTGTTGAAACAAACAGAGCAATAATTTCTTCTTCTATCCACAATCATCCTCATTAAAAGTAGTTAACAAGTTGATTGGTATTGGAACAGATGTGTTTGACAAGTTCAAGGACAAGGACGGAAGGTTCAAAACAGAACTAAGTGAAGACATTAGAGGGTTAATGGGATTATATGAAGCATCACAGCTAAGCATAGAAGGAGAAGACATACTTGATCAAGCTGCAGACTTCAGTGCCCAACAACTTAATGGGTGGTTGACACGTCTTGATAATCATCATCAAGCCAAAGTTATCAGCAGCACACTAGGGCATCCCCAACACAAGAGCCTGGCAAAGTTCATGGCCAAGAAATTCCTCAGTGATTACAATGGCCCCAATGCAAATGCCCTGCAAGAACTAGCAAAAATGGATTTCAATATGTCTCCGTCCATGTACCAGAAGGAAATGCTTCAAGTTTCCAAGTAAGTTTGGCTTTAATTTTGTTTTAATTGTGGTACTAGGTGTGTTCAAGAGGGCATAGGATTCTCTATCCTTAAAATTCATGTGCCCCTATCCCTAATGCACTTCCAGTTGCATGATTGTACCTCAAGATTGTAGTATTTTGAGATTCACATCAAATTGTTAGGTTGGAAGTGTTAGGGAAAATCGATGTGATTCCCCACAAGTAAATCAATTAATAGGAATAAAAACTAATGCGGAAAAATTAAATCAAAGGCAACACAAGAATTTTTACGTGGTTCCCTCAATGTGAGGTACGTCCACGGGATCGAAATCCGATTCCACTATCAACCAAATAAGTTCCAAACGATTACAAACGAGACACTAATGGTCTCACAAAACCACCCTTAGGTGAATTCCAAATAATCACAAATAAACAAAAAGGAAAGACCTCACCAAATTGAAGAACCAAAATCTTCAGAACCAGAGTTGAAGAAGACCCAAAATAACAAACCCAAATAAAAACCTCCAATGTAGACCTTCAAAGCAGAACCGAACAGAGTTGCAAAGCAAAGCATAAATTCTTGAATTTGATGGCACCAATTCTTGGTCAAGAATTGACCAAGTCAAACAGGGCAACAATCAATACCAATTGAAGCCCAACAAATTACCAAGCACACTTACCAATCAATGTGTATTCTGGTATTCTAGTGCCGCGGCTTTGATGCCTTGAACATAATATAATGAATCTAGGGTTTTTAATCAAACTTTAGTTGTATCCAAATTGAATTGGATCTCCACAAATATAATATATAAAAATATATTATACCTAAATCAAGTCAAATTGAAACTCTTTAACAAACCAATTGGGTCCCACACTCCAATAAGAAGGTATACCCAACAGGAAGTGTATTAGGGACAAGGTTTTCGAAGACAGAAGATCCTAGTCATTTTTTGTCACTTCTCCCGTCTCTTTTCTTTCCACTTACAAATCTCTACTTGAACTCAAGATCCAAACACACGCTAAGTGTGTGTTGAAAAGGACATGATTTTTTGTCCTGAAAATTCATGTCCACTGTTCCTAATATACTCCCCGTCAAAGGATCCTACGGACAAGGTTTTTTAGTGCAGAAGATCCTTGGCCGTTCAAGAACGGAGATTATTCACTGCTTATGTATGGTTTTTTCATCTCAGATGGTGGAAAAGCACAGGTTTGGGCAATGAGTTGAAGTATGCAAGAAACCAACCACTAAAATGGTACCTGTGGTCTATGGCAACCCTCACTGACCCAAGCTTATCAGAGCAAAGAGTTGAGCTCACAAAACCCATCTCTCTTGTCTACATAATAGACGACATTTTTGATGTTTATGGCACACTAGAAGAACTTATTCTCTTCACAGAGGCTGTCAATAGGTATGCATCTCCTCCATCATCATCATCATCACTATATTCATCTTCAAAATTTTCAATTCTGTAATACTAACCAGTAGTTACTGCAGATGGGAACTAGCAGCTGTTAACGAACTACCCAGCTATATGAAGATTTGTTTCAAGGTTCTTCAAGACAGCACAAACGAAATTGCCTATGGGGTCCACAAAAAGTATGGTTGGAACCCCATCGATTCTCTACAAAGAACGGTATATCATAATATTACCAGCAAATTATGTCATGTGCATACTTAGGATTCTATTAGATAGTTTGAAAGAATTACAAATGGATTAGCTTTAATAAAATCCTTGATTGTTGCAGTGGGCAATTTTGTGCAACGCGTTCTTAGAAGAAGCGAAATGGTTTGCTTCAGGGCAGTTGCCAAAAGCAGAAGAGTACTTGAAGAATGGGATTGTTAGTTCAGGTGTGCCCGCAGTATTAGTTCACATGTTCTTTCTCTTGGGTCATGGAATGAACAAGGAAAGTGTCGATTTTATGATCGACAATCCTGACATCATAACCTCTACCGCTACAATTCTCCGTCTTTGGGATGATTTGGGAAGTGCCAAGGTAACACAAAGTTCATTTTCTATCAAGATAAAATGTTGTCCTAATGTAAAGCCAACCACCCGAAAATATCAAGTAAATTAGAGGACCACATTCTGACCTACAAGGAGGCATTAGCAAGGCCTACACTGATAATGGCACTCACAGATGTAGACGGTGTCGGCTGGTAACACACTCTGGCTCAATGGTATCGCATGATGTAATCCAACAGAACCATTGATTCGGACACCATAACAACTATGAGAATTGTCATGGACCCTGATAATGAAACAGAGCCATTAGTGCAGACACCACAAACATGAGAATGGATTCCACAAAAAGGAAAAGAAATTGTGAAAGCATTTCAGAAAATGGTGGCCCTATTTGTGTTTCAGAAACAAATGTATGAAACATCACCCACCGAGGTCATTTGTCAAAGTTCAATGTGAACAATCATAATGACAATCATAAAAAGTTCACTCAATGTCAAGCCTTCTTAACATGTTAGGAAATTTTTTTTAAAAAAATTAAAATTAAAAATAAAAAAGTGCTTGTGTTTAGCAGAGATTTTCATTTCCTTACATGAACCATTTATATTCGGTTCAGCTCTAACATAAGCTTGGACTTAAACTGACAGGATGAGAATCAAGACGGTCATGATGGATCCTATGTAGATTGCTACATGAAGGAACACGAGGGCTCTACAGCTGAAACCGCAAGAAAGCAAGTTGTTGACATGATTTCAGATGCATGGAAGCGACTCAACCGGGAATGCCTGTCTCCAAATCGATTTTCTGCCAATTTCACCCAGGGTTGTCTTAATACTGCAAGGATGGTTCCTTTGATGTACTGCTATGATGACAATCATAACCTCCCAATCCTTGAGGAGCATATGAAGTCAATGTTCCATGATAGTGTTTCTCTCTAAGGATTCAATGAAAGTACTAAAATATTGCTATTTTTCCTTAGCAGAGTATACCAGACTAATACTATTATATAGTCCAAACAAAATGCAAAAATAAATACTATATGATGTAGTAGCAAAAACATGTAATAGAGAAAGTAGGGTATCGATCTTGGGATCCATTGATTCAAGAATAAATTGTTCTATAACTCGTTGATTCACAAAAAATACTGGAAATAAAGGCTCAACAATGATTGATTCAAAATGAATGTTCAAGATTAAAAGAAGAGTATAAACTTGAAATTGTTAGGCTTACAATAATTATTTATAACGGAAAGCAGCCGAACGATACTAGGAAACAACTGAAATTGGCAGCTCCTTAACTAGCTAGACAAAAATTAAGGAAATATAATGAAAATTAACAAAAAATGGAAACATTGAAACACAACACACACACACACACACACACACACACACACAAAAGCTACTAATTTAGAGCATCTCCATCAAAATAGTCAAATTTTTAGTTAAATTTTAACTAAAGTCTATTTTTCTGTTTTAGCGAGCCATCTTTTCAAATACATTCTCCAATAAACTCTTTATTCTTTATTTCATTTGTTGAGTTCTTTTTCCTTGGCTACATGTAGCTAGTGGTTTGATATTCAACTAAAGTAACTAGCTAATAATTGAGTTTGATGGAGTGTATTTCTATAATTTTGTACCATAAAATAGCCAAGAGAATGCTCTAATGAGCTTGATAATGATGTTTTTAGACTACCACGATAAAGGCAAATTCAATGGAAATGAATTCTGACTTTTATACTAAAGAGTAACTAAAATTGCAGACTTTAGTCTCGGAAATTCTAAACCTTTGCGTTCTAGACTTTGCTATTCGAACTCTAATTTCCACTGTCCTAGCAGTGTTGAAAAATCTAGAAATCCCCTAGATGTTGGTTTGTGATTATGTATCAATTTTAAGCAGTAAATAACAATATCAATCAAACAATCAATACAAATCGACACAACGATTTTAACGTCGAAAACCACAATTGGAGCACCTTCAATTGTGATAAAAAAATCACGGGTAACAGCCACAAAACAATCCACTAAGTAGAAATAAAGGAATTACACAAGTATACTCTCAATTACCTAGCGAATCCACGCCCGAATTGAACCAACCTCTATGTGCCTCTTCCAACCCCGTCTTTACATCGGAATTGTCTTGACGATGAGCCACTCAAGAATCCACCAAAGTTTCAGGCTCGAATTCTTCAGAATCTACCGAAGAACAACTCTCTCTTTTGTGTAGAACAAACAAATAATCCTTTGATGTATACTCTTTAAACCATGAGTTGAATACTCAATCAAAATATTAAAGAAAACTAGCAAAATATCCCCAGATATAAACCCTAGAACCCAAGAAGAAGATCTGGACAAGTAATCCTAAAATCTGACAGAAACACGTACTTATAGAAATCTGAATCGCAATGCTCGCTCGAGCGACGGCTCTCTCGCTCGAGCGAGGAACTAAAAACGCGTGTTTTCCACAAGTGGCTTCACTCGAGCCAAACAACCTGCGCTAGCAGTGTAAAATCATCTCTTTCATGTTTTTACATAGACGCAGCCTTCGCTCGAGCGAGAACTCCTTCGCTCGAGCGAGCAAGGGTGGACAAGCAACTTTGAATGCAATTTTGCATTTTGCTTCGGAGGCGCTACCCCTCGACCCGCCTGGGCACTGCCTCGAACCCGTCAAGGAGCGCTGCCCCCTGGACCCCCGCGAGCTGACCGGGCAGCTCGATCCCCGTCATAATCAGTGAAGTGGCAATCTTGAAAGAATTAACATCACAAACTTCTCTGCAAGGCACAATTCGGGTTGGATTCGCATCTAAAAACTCATAGCCTCACTGAAATAAAAAAAATGCGAAAATAAGTACAACCAAAAGGAGTTTTGTCAACCGTGATTGTCAAGAATAAAAACCTAACAAGTGTAATTTATTAAACTTAAAAGATGAACCTCCTTATCATATTGAAACAGTGATCTAGACACAACATGCTATTTAGTCACAAAAACCAAAATTAATTTTATACATGAATCTAAGTTATTCTAAAATACTAGATGAATCTATTTGTTCAATTTCATGGGAAAGTATATATAATCTGTTTTAAGATTGTTGCACAAATTGCGTGATTAAACAAAACAAATAAATTCATATTCGATAAATTAAATTATGGAACATGAAACAGAAATACATAACACATAATATATTAAAAGATGAGGAATCAAACCGAAGCCTGTGTGGTACCACAGTCTCCTTAAAACAGATTAGCCATCTCACCGTGGGTGTTAGAGGTATGTCGACTTCTGTTTCCCAAGATACAACGATTTAGACCGGCTAACGCAAAAGCAATTTCTGTTAGATTTGGCGAACCGACAATGACAGCACTCTCACACAGGAAAAATAAAAATTTTAGAGAAAAACTTTTAACACAAAGAGAGAGTAAACTTTCTGGTGTAAAAGAATGAAGGGAAGGGTCTTCTTTTATACACATATAGGGAGAGAGGAAAAGGCTTCTGCAACAAATGCAGGTTTTGATTTTGCAAAACTCCCAAGATGTAAATTGCAAAATTGATGGCTTTAATCTATCCTGAATACAAAGGAGTTACCAGGTTTTATATACATATGTATTGTGTATAATCCTATAGCCACCGTTTCCAACACCTCTTTCATGAGGCCAACTTAATGAGTCAATTTCTCATTTCAATCTCAGTGATTTTTGGTCATTCTTTTTGTGGTGTAAAAATCTTGTTACAAAGAATCTAAACCGATTTAATTTCACCTCAACCAATAGTTGAGACCTACTTTAATTTCATATTAAAGTCATCATAAAACTATGTTTTTCCAACACTGTAAACATGTACGGAATAAGATTATATATATAATTATTCTTCATATATTTGGTTTTATAAAAAATAAGATTAAAAAAAAAGAGATAAATTATACTTTTGACTCTCAAACTTTTATCCAATTTTTACTTTAGCTCGTCGTTAAATTTCAACTTGCGTTTTAACGTGATCCTTCCATCATTCTATCATTTAAATTTGAGCAAAAGTTGAAAAATAAAAAGTATAATTTGTTATACAATTTAATTAATTAATTTATTAATTTATTTGTGGTTCTAATACCTCACAAATGTGCTCATGAAGCCCTCGTTTGAACTCTTTCATTCAAAATTTTAGTTGTTAGTAACCTCGGGCTGAAGTAACGATCTCTTCTTGAACCGGAGTAATTCCGTCTCCTTGGGCCGAAGTAGCTTTGTCTTCCCAAGGCCGGAGTAATTTTGCCCTTCTGGGCCGGAGTATTCTGTATGGCCGTTTTACCTAGTCCACTGCGTTTTGGGCTTCAAAGCTCAACTTGCAGCTCGGCCCAATCTTTCCCAAAAATTACCCTCTCAAAACACTATTAAAAAAAATCACTAAATGTTAATTTTCAGCAACAATTTAAAAATTATCACAAAAAAAGTCACTAATTATAAGTTTTATCGATAGTTTAAAAAAATTGTCACAAAAAAAGTCATTAATTTTCAACTTTCAACGACAGTTTGAAAAATTCGTCATAAAAAAATATCAGTAGTTGTAAGTTTTAGTGACAATTTATAAAAACTGAAAAAAAAAAAAAAAAAAAAATCATTCATCATGTTTGTTCCATTTTTTTGAATTATTTTTTCCAAAAACTGATTTGAAAACTCTATTTTGAAAAAGGATCTTTGTTTGGTTTTTTTTTAAAAAAATATTATTGAAAATTCGAGTTTCCTTCTAATTTAAGGAGAGAAACAATTTTTTTTAAAAAAAATTGTCACGTCAAAAAACACTTCCATGTTATATATATGTACATGCAATATATTTATGAGTAAAATATCCTACCATTAAATGTGTGATTTTTTCATAAAATTTTCACTCATAAATTTGTATTTTCAATTTGTTTTCATAAATTGTTAAAGTTTATATAAATTTTGCTTCATATTTGAAATTGTAAATATATATTTAAAAATTATGCAAATAATTTTTGAAGCCCATTATTAATACGCTAATACCAACAAGATCAAAAAAATCCAAAAGAGTGTACATTTTCATCTTTTGAAAACTTTATGAAAACTTTGTACAAAAAAGTGTACCAAAATGATTAAAAAATACAAAAAAAAAAGGTGCACCAAAAGGATTGAAAAATACAAAAAAAGGGTACCAAAAAAGTGTACATTTAAAAAAAAAAAAAAACGTGTAAACTCAAAAAAAAGCAATCAAGAAGCCAGATTTTGAAATTTTTATTCGGTTTTCTAAATAATCAAACAAAGATTTCAAAATTTTCAAAAAAATGAGTTTAGAAAACAGGAACCAAACACAAAGATTAATTGTCAATTTTTAATGAGACATGTAAAAAATCGTCACAAAAAATTATTTTTAGCAACAATTTTACTATAACTTATTTTCAATAGGGTTTGATGAGAATTAAATGTAACTATTAGAACCTATTAGTAGTTTATCCATTAAAATATGGTAGTCTAAGTGAAATTCTCATAAAAATTTAAGAAGTATAAATTATCCATTAAAAAATAAAGTTGATGTGAGAGACTACGAAATTGTTGAAAATGCTAACATGTTGTAGAAGAACCGACGAATGGGTACGAGGAGCTAATTTGTGCACAAATATTATTATATTAATTAGATTTTTATATCATATTTTAGTGTATCATTTTATGCATCAGTATTATATTGAAAATAAATATCAACAGTTCTAAATGTGAGATAAAAAATAATAAGTGTGATATTATTGCTAATGAAATCTTTGAATTTGAAGATGCCATTTCTTTCTTCTTTTTTTTTTTTTTTGTGTAATTTATGATGTCCATATTTTAATTTCTTTTTTCAATTGATTTTTTAATTTTTAGGTCAATAATAATTAAAAATTATAAAATATATATTTTTATGAGCGTCCAATCATTTGAAAAAAAAAAATCTCAATCATATAAAATTATTGTACTTATCATGAATATCAACATACTGTCATTTGAAGAAAAAAAAAAAAATCGGGTAAATTACACTGACACTTCCTGAGGTTTATGTTTACTACAGTTCTCCCCTCACATTTGAAAAATTACACTGACCCTCCCTTGTCAGTGTAATTATTTGACGGTGTTAACTTTTAAATTAAAA